AACTAGGTGACGTCTTCAACACTATGAAGGCGTAGGGACCCGAGACAGTAGACTACCTCGTAAGGCGGACAGACGCGCCTTTCAAACCTGACGTGGCAAACTACCCCCTCCCTCAAAAGTTCAAAATGCCATTCGTGGAGACCTTTGACGGAACGAAGGATCCACTTGATCATCTCGAAACCTACAAGTCCTTAATGCAACTACACAACGTCCCTGACAAAATTATGTGTAGGGCATTACCAACTATCTTGAAGGGATCAGCGCGACAATGGTTCGTCAAACTCACCCCGGCCTCCATAGGCTCCTTTGCCGAATGGAGTAGATCATTTATGGCACAGTTCATTGGTGGACACCGCCAACAAAAGTCTGTCACCCATTTGTTCAACATAAAATAGGATCGAGACGAGAGTCTGAGGAGTTACCTCACTCGTTTTAACGAGGAGGTCCTCCAAATCGAGAAGCCCAATGACAAAGTCATCATGACCACCTTTCTGGGAGGCCTCCACTCATCCAGATTCTTTTTTTCAATATTGAAGCGACCACCAAAGAGCATGCTAGAAATATTGGTAAAAACTCAAAAATATATCAATGTTGAGGAAATCAACACGTCTAGGCGAGGTGAATCATCTCGCGGATCTCTAAAAGCTTGACCTGCCTCTGCACTATTCTCAACACAGGCAGCCTTAGTATCCTACTTAGCGACTTTCTCACGGGTCGCCAAAAGTTTAGCCTGCCTCTGCACTGTTCTCAAACAGGCAGCCTCAATATCCAGCTTAGTGACTCTCTTACGGGTCGCCAAAAGCTTGGCCTCTACGTTGTTCTCAAACAAGCAACCTCAATATCAAGCTTAGCAACTCTCTCACGGGTCGCCAAAAGATTGGCTTCTACACTGCTCTTAAACAGGCAGCCTATATCTTTAGCTGGGCGGCTCTTTCATGGGTTGCCAAAAGTTTGGCCTCTGCGCTGTTCTCAAACAAGCAGTCTATACCTCAAGCTTAAAGACCCTCTCATGGGTCGCCAAAAGCTAGGTTTCAAAAGGTGTTGCTCTCTCACGAGCAGTTCTCCAAATCTATCTTTGTTCTCACGCAAGCAACCTACCTCTCCCTACAGGTAATTACGTGAGATATTTTAATGTTTGAAATAATATTGTTTTTTGTCATCACAACTAGGCTCACCCAAGGCGCCCAAACCAGGCAGCCAAGCAGAGGTGCCTGATGCTCTATGCTTCCCCAGACGAGACAGCCCAGCACTTAGAGAGATGCCTAATCCTATGTGCTCGCCTAAACGAGGTAGCCCAACACCTGGAAAGGTGTCTGATCCTATGTGCTCACCCAAACGAGGCAGCTCAGCACTTGGAGAGATGTCTGATCCTACATGATCCCCAAACGAGGTAGCCCAGCACCTGGAGAGGTGCTTGATCCTATGTGCTCGCCCAAACAAGGCAGCCCAGCACCTGGAGGGGTGTCTGACGTTCTATATTCACCCAAACGAGACAGCCCAGCACTTGGAGAGGTGTCTGACCACCTTTGCTCGCCCAAACGAGGCAACCTAACATTGTCTGGCCCTCCAAAGATGAACAACACAGCTCCAAAGGTGTCTGATCCTATGTGCTCCCCAAATGAGGCAGCCTAGCACCTGGAGATGTGTCTGATCCTATGTGTTCGCCCAAACGAGACAGCTTAGCACTTGGAGAGGTGCCTGACCATCATTGCTCGCCCAAACAGGGCAGCCCAACACTGTCTGGCCCTCCAAAGTTGCACAAAACAGCTCCAAAGGCACCCAGATCAGCGCCTGAAGTGGCACCCAGATCTGCCCTTGTGCCCAGGCAGCCCCGACTGCACCTCTAGCTCCTAATGCCTAGGCAGCACCTCCAGCTCCTAATGCCCAGGCATCCCAGACTGCACTTCCATCTCCTGATGCCCAAGCATCCCAGGCTGCACCTCCATCTCCTGATGCCCAAACATCCCAGGTTGCTACCCAACTCCCCTACTACACCCCTGCTGGCCTGGGCAACTCCTTTTTTAGCCTGCACACTGTTGTCCAGCACGCGAGCGATGTCCAGTTCGCCAGATTGCACGCGCGCTACCCAGTCCGTCTGCCTGTGCTGCTCAGTCTGCCCGCCTGCGTTGCCCAGTCCGCCTGTTAGCGCGCCTGTGCTGTCCAGTCGACTGGTTTACTAGCCTGAGTTGTCCAGCCCGCCTTTTTTGACACCCAGGCTATTTGGGACAACATTTTCGGCACCAAAGCTGTCCAGGACAACACCTCCAGCACCCAAATGGTCCAGACCAGCCTCTAAACTTCCCAAACTAGCTCTTAGAATGGCGCCCTATTCACCTTTGCCTCCATGGAACCCGCCACTGCAATGCCCGATGGACTAGCACGCCCAGCTGCCGCACGCGCAACACCGATGCCCAAAGGCGGTAGCTTCGCTACTTGAGGCCTTGAATCACCAGTAGGAACCACGGGTTCCCCTATTTTCGGCATCCCAAGCTCGGACAGCCCATTGGGTGCATGAATAACGGTGGCAATGGGTGCTCGAGACATCTCCATGCCGCTACTTACCTCCTCTTCAATAGCAATGTTGGTTTTTCTCTTCATTGATGCTCCAACTCAAGAGTCTCAAGCTTTGGGTCTCCAAGGATTTCAAAAAAAAGGTCATGAATAAGTTGGAAGAAGTGGGATACAATGAAGAAGAAGACTATATTTATGACCTAGGGCTTTTAACGAGGGAAAAGCCCAAATTAAAAATTATGGGCTCTCTTGAAAAATCTCTTGCAAAAGTGAGAAAGACTTAAAGTATGCACCAAAGCCAAAAATACATTACACAAATGAAGAGTCAATGCCTCATTCTCCAAGTTTCCTTAGACATAGGAGGCATTGAGGGGCAAATGAAGGGTCAAGCCCAAGAAGAACCCAATTTATTTGAAAAACCAAAACCTCAATTAAAGAGCCCAGTCTTATAAAGACCCACTAAGCACAATATTGTCCAAGTCCAATCTCATCAGTTCGGATACGTCATCAAGAGAGAGAGAGAGAGAGAGAGCATGGGAGCCCTACTTGCACCGCAGAGGAAAAAGTCCATCCTCACCTCATCTTTGACCGCACCTCAAGGATAGCTCCTCAACCACCTCACCCATTGAGAAGAAGTCGTGAACTCCACCGAAATAGTTGCTTAGTTGTTGAAAAATAACTCCAACCTGTTAGGGGGCTACTATAAATTGCACGCCCCACTAACACTTGGGGGGCATCACACTTTACCTGAGCACGACTCTCTCATTTCCCTCAAAGCTTGTACTCCCTGCTCCCCACACTCTTAAGTTAATAAAATACCCAGCAACCAAAGCCATTGAAGAATGGACATAGGTTGAGCTGACCGAACCACTATAAATTGCATGTGTCTCTCCATCTTCTAATATTATTTTTTTGCATTTATTATTCACATTTGACAGGTAGTGTGCAAAACCATTTTATGCATCTTAAAGTTGTAAATTGAGATGTCTTGAGTTTAAATTTTGGTAATCCTTTAATGCAAGACCATTAGAGATTTGTCTCTACTAATACCCTAATTTAGACGTGGATGATCTGTTTTTAACTATACCAAAAAAAAAATTAATTGAAATATGCGTAAATTAGTCAAAACACCTCTAACTGTTGAATAAAAAAAAAACATTGAGGGTGGGCCCTAGCCCCTGTGTAACTCCCATGGTGATTATAGTGAAGGACTGGAACTTTAGATTTTTTTAATTATTTGTATTTTAACGTCTAAATTAAACAATTAAATTTGATATTAATATAATGGTTCGGTGAGTGAAGAATGGGTCATCAATAATGGTTAGGTGAGTAAACGTCTAAATTAAACAATTGAATAAAATAACTAAATCTGATATTAATATAATGGTTAGGTGAGTGAAGAAGGTTACTGGTGCAATGCTTAATCAATTCACTAAGAAAATCAGATTCTTATAACCTTGTGATGAGCATATAAAACTATAGACACTTTGTAGTTGCTGGTTTTCCCTTGATTGCGTCACTATTTTCCCTTCCTTTATTGTTAGTTTAGTTTTTTTTTTTTTTTAAAGCTCTTTGTTATTTTTTTAAATTATGGGAAGGGCCATGGCATGGTTTTTGAGTAATTTGTTTTGCATTGGTGGACAAATGGATGCACACAACATAGGCAAAGTGGCTGCCCAACAAAGCAAAAATCATATCGAGAATTTTACGGTTTTGGGAGTGTAAATTGAGACTCGAAAAATCTTTTAAGGTGTAAAGTATAATTTTCAGCCAATGCTGAAAAATTATCATATGCACAACAAGTGGTATTTTCTATTTAGAATTTTAGACAACACTTACCAACAAAATTAAGAGGTAGAGGTATAAAACATGAGGGATGAAATTGAGGATAAAAAATCTGGAATCATTAGTGGATCATTGAACCAAATTTATTGATTTGATTAATCACAATCATTAAATTAATTAGCAACAAGTCTCAATATTAGATGAAATATATTATCAATTCAACGATTTTAGTACATTAAATCACAAAATTAAATCAATAAATTAGGTACGAATAAAATTATTTTTTTGACTTCCAATTACAAACTAGGCCAAATAATATTTGACTATTCCACTATGGTCTTTATCTCACTTTTTTTTTTGAACTATTAATGTTTTCACATTGTCCCTTTAACTACTTGAATCATCTTCTCAAATACAAAAATAAGTTGTGTTTTAGAGAAAAATAAATAAATAAATTTTCCATTAGACAATTTTCTGACAAATTTGCAAACATGTTATTTAGTAGGATAATGCGAGATAGAGCCACAAGTGAGGGTCATAGTGTGATTTTCTCTATAACATCCGGCCGATTTTTGGCTTTATTTAGTGTGGTCTTCTCTGTTCAAGCAGTATCTTATTTTTATGGGGCGTCAGTAGATTACAACATTGTTTAACCAATCATACATTTCCATGGTCCACTCATCCATTAAAATTTATAACAAAAGTTAAATCAAAATATGCTTAGTAATGCATTTTAAGCACAATGTATAATTACATTCTCCACATTCGAAAATGGGACTATCCCTATCAGTAGAAAGACCACAGTTGTAATACGAGAACCTCTTCTTTGCTTTCCGTGCAAATGTTAGAGGGCATGGGTGACAATTTACATCAAGGGTGCCCCCATACTTGACGTTTGAATAGAAGTCTTTAATGCAGTCAAGATGAAACGATTGATCACAATCACTACAATGATAGATCCAATAGTTGGGGTTTATTTCGTCCTCACACATTTCACAATGAAACTCATCAGGATGATCACTAAATGGAGGATAACATAGGATTAGGGGATGTTTGTCCCATCTATGCCTGATGGTACGTGGGAGCAGAGTAAGGGCGTGACGTATTTTGAACTTGCAATCATCACTTTTAAATCCGCTTGTAGAGAAGTAAAAACCACTTGCATTGCAGACATCTTCTGAACCAGAACCTTTCATTTGAACCAATGGATTCTTGTGAGCTCGATGTGCAATCGAAGTAGGTAGGAAAGCACATTTGACATCAAGGAAGAATTCACATGCTTGACACTCATAGAAGAATCCATTGCTGTATACCCAGCAAGCATTGCACCAGAAGGTCTCGTAGAATTTACTATGCTGAGAAAGTTGCAGTGGGTGTTCATCGTAAATTGGGTGCTGCAATTCTCGTGGTAAGTTGACGCAACATAAATGGAGAAAATAATTGCATTGACCACAACGGTAAAATGGAAATGATATTGGTTGCACACAACCATCACATAACGTAATCTCATCCTTGATATCATCATCCTTTTGTACATCAAAAAGGATTAGTGGATGCATATGACTCCAATGGATGAGCTCTGCCTCTCTCTCAATATCTTCAAGATTGATTTGTTTAGCAAAATGTCTAAATAGTTCTAAGGAACCATCGATCATCGGTAAGTGTAATAGATTAGGGTCGATTGATTGATCAACTTCATTCTCACTTTCACCACCTCTGAAACCACAAAATTCCAAACAAAACATTTACTTGACAAGGAAAAAATCACTACAAATATTTTAGTAGAAAGAGTGACGAAGTTTAAAAAGGCACAATGAGTAAACTCACCTCAAAGATTCTGTAGTCATAATTGAACATCTCACATGGATAAAATATCTACACCGGGCACAACAATAAGCCCAACCATCCTTAGAAATGTAGACACCACAAATACCACATTCTTGGTTGAAATTGATGAACTCAGAATACTTGTAGATGAAGGTGAGAGAGTGATGGTGATAATTACGGTTGATGATTCTAGGTAACAAAAGACAACTCTTATGGACCAAAAATTGACAAGTCAAACATATATAGGACATGTCTTCACTTTTTATGCGGCAAACATCACAAATGAAAGAGGTTCGCCTAAGTATGGGGGTTAACGGGTGTTCATGAAGTTCATGTGTAATCTCGCGTTGCACTTCATGTGTAATCTCATATTTCGGAATAAAACATGACATGCATATATTAAACTTGCAAAGAGAACAAAAGTAGTTGAATCGATTTCTATCTTCTTCACAACCATCACAAATATACACATTATTTCCATAAGGCGAACTTGGATGGAGGGTTAGAAGGTGTTTAGAGTGCGTGTAGTGTTCAACCTCCCGGGGGAGTTTTGCACAACTTTTATGTAGAAAGTAAGAACAGGCTCCACAATTATATGCAGAGTCTATTATCACTTTCTCACACGCATAACAAAAACATTTGTCACCTTCACCCTCCATTTGCACTTCTTTGAGGATCAATGGATGCTCATGACTGAAATGTTGAAGCTCCATCTGTATGTCTTGGTGGGAAAGTGATCACGAGGAGGTGCGAGAGTGGTAGGTTTTCGACGCTGCAAAAACGAGGTATATACTTGGTACAAATTGAATGTAAATGAACTGAATAGATGCTTATGTTAACTTCATTGTTGGTTTGGTTATTATTATAATAAAGATTCCTTGAATAATACAAATCAAAGGGTTTGGTCAAGAAAAGGCCTGCCCTACAATTTGATATAACTACTCTTTTCTTATTAGTTGCTTCTGCCCAAGTCATTGCGCAAATGCAGATGAATTCTTCATCTACGACTATAAGCCATTTGCCATAATTATTTCATATGCCAGTTGTATATGTTCTTTTCATGACTAGGTTGAGTTGACTTCTAATTATATAAGTCTTGTTTTTTGAGGTGAGATCTAGATATATATGTATATATATAAAGTAGTAAGATCATAAAAACTCTGTATTGAAACCTTTAGTACATACCTTTTATGTAGACCGTTGCATTACTACAGAGTACGGTACAGAGTTTTTATGATTACAATACTTAATAAAATATATTATATTAGTGAACTCTCTAACTCTGGTTTAATGAAATCAACCACTTCTAAAATTTACTATACTCTGAAATAGTTATAGTTTCTTTTATATTTTATAGCTGATGATAGCGAGACATTCATACTGTTCATAAGGATGCAAAACTCTCAACTCAACTGTCATTTTAATTTTTAATGTCATACCAATTGGTTTTAACTATTCTCATTTTAGTTGTTGTTTTTTCCAAGTTGTTGTGTTTTCCACATGAAGATGAGTTGTCGAGTATTGTTGGCCACTTGCCATTTTTTTTTTCGGGCTTATCTCTGACCCAGTTTGAACAGTGTGTTGTAACCTACTTACATGGGTTAATACTAATCCACCCGAGGGTGGGTTAAAAACCCAATTAATGGGATATATTGTCTAATTACTATAATATCCCTTTTTACAATTTAACCCTATCACTATGGCTAGGGTCAAATGATATTGCGATATTTATTGTCTCGTGCTGTTTTTTTTTTTCCAGTTAAGCGTGATAACTCCATAAAAGTACTTGTATTAGAATAGTAAAACATCAAAATAAAAATAACAAAATTTGATATTAAAATAATTGTTGGGTGATTGTAAAAAAGAGTGTCTTACTAATTGATATCGTTTGCTAGTATTTTCTTAGTATATCTATATTAATAAAACAGAACGACCGTCCTATCTAAATATCTTGACCACCTGTTCTAGAAAAACCTAACAACGGGAATATAAAAAATGGAGGTGGGTCCTAAGTCCTAACCCCTATGTAGCTGTCGCTGTGCAAATGGACAAGAAATAATTATAAACCAAATCGTTTGGAGTTTAAATCATGATAATTTTTTAAGTTAAATTATGAATAATTTATCTCTCATGAATATTCTAATATTGATGTGGATGATTTTGCTTTTGATCATACAAAAAAAAATTAATCGAGATATACGTAAACTGATCCAAACACCTTTGACAATCAAACCAGAAAAAAAAAAAAAAAAAATGAGGGTGGGCGCTAGCCCTTTTGTAACTCCAATTGTGGTTATAGTGAAGGACCAGAACTTTAGATTTTTTTAATTATTTATATTTTAACGTCTAAATTAAACAATTGAGTACAACAATTAAATTTAATATTAATATAATGGTTAGGTGAGTGAAGAAAGGGTCATCAATAATAGTTTGGTGAGTACACGTCTAAATTGAACAATTGAAAAAAATAATTAAATTAGATATTAATATAATGGTTGGGCGAGTGAAGAAAGGATCTTCAATAATGGGTTTGGTGAGGGAAGAGAGGGAAGAAAAGATTATTTTCACTGGTCTTTTTTTAATATATATTGACTATACTAACTTTCACTGGTCTTTTTTTAGTATATATTGAAGAAAGGATTATTTTCGCTAGTCTTTTTTTAGAGTATATTGACTATGGTGGGCCCTGGCCCTAATGTACCTCCCCGGTGGGCGGTGGCCATAGCCAGTGACAATGAAAACTTTTGCTTTTTCTAAATTATTATATTTTGATGCCTACATCGGATCCGGCTCCTCTGCTGTTCGGGAGGAACAGCAGCCCCTGCTATTCTTAAAACGACACCGTTTGGGGCCTCTTTTTGGAAAACCAATCAGACCCAAAAATAAGGGCCGGACCACATAGATAGATCATCATCATGGGTTGTTTATTTCGGGCAGAACACTAGTATGTTCCGTACAAAACAAATTTTTTTCGAAAATATTTTTAGTTTATTATATATTTAAAGACCCTCGTTCGATTATCAAAAATATCACTGACACCCACTTTTATTAAATCACCATTTATAATAAAAATAAATTATCTAAAATATTAAAATTGTCCCTATATAAACTTTAAACAATCTTTTTATATTAAATTATATTAAAATTTGAATCGATTAAAATTTATTTTTTACATATTAAAATTTGTACGGAACATACTAGTGTTATGTCCGAAATAAACAACCCATGATGATGATCTATCTATGTGGTTCAGCCCTTGTTTTTGGGTCTGATTGGTTTTCCAAAAAAAGGAGCCGGATCCTGCCTGCCTACGTCAAACAATCGAATAAAGTAATGGTTAAGTGATTGAAGAAGAAAAGACTATCTTACAAATTGATATATTTCACCAGTATTTTCTTAGTATATTTGTATAATAAAGTAATTTATAATTTAAATTGTAAAAGATAAATAAAATGACATTTACTTTTCATAGTTCAGATCGTTTTAAATTTTACTTTAAAGTTAATCTACCGGCTAATATTAATACTCTAAATTTAATAGGAAAAATAGGCTTCTAGAGATGTGTTTGGAGTGATTTTTTAAAAGTACTTCTATGAATTATTTCTCATCAGTACTTTAAAAAAAATAGTGTTTAAAACCGTCTCACCACCCACCCCCACCCCCACCACCACCGTCGATGTCGTCATCATCGCCGCCACCACTACCATTGTCGTTACTGTCACCACCGTCATCGTCGTCGTCACCCCCACCCCCACCACCATCGTCATTGTCGCCACTGCCACCACTGTCGTCGTCGTCGCCGTCGTCGCCGCCACCACCACCATCGCCACCACCAACACTGTCGCTACTGCCGCCACCACCCCTACCCCCACCACCACTTTCTACCATCGTCATAGTCGTCGCCACCACCACCGCCATCACCACCACCACCACCATCACCACCGTCGTCGTTGTCGTCGCCGCCACCACCACCCACCACCATCAGCGTCGTCGTCGCCTCACCACCATCGTCACCACTGTCGCCACCACTACCACCACAGCCGTCGTCGTCGCTACCACCACCACCACCACCACCGCCGTCGCCACCGCCACCCTACCACCACCACCGCCACCACGATTATTGTCACTCATCGCAAACATTACTGTCTCCTACATCACCACTGCCGCCCACTACCTCTCATAACCACTGTTGTCCACCACCTCTCACAACCACTGTTGTCCACCACCTCTCACCTCTTATCTCCACTATAATTGATGTTTAAATTTTTTTATCTCTGCTCTATGTTTATGATTTGATTTTGGACATAAATACAAATATGTTTATTGTTTACCATTTTTATTACTTTATACCTTCAGACACAGATAATAACTAATACATTTATATTTGCATAACTCATATCAAAAGGCATGATACAACATAAAATTTATATGTTCAAAAAGTTGATTTCATAATTTTTGATAAATTTAATTTTTTTTTAATTATCTAATTTTTATTTTTTTTGTATTAAATCAAGCTTAAAGGCACGAACAATTTCTAGTATATATTTATACTAATAAGATAAAATTGATTTTGAATCATTAAGTTAGCCTATCACGAGAGTGAGTGAGATTCATTCAACCCAATGGATAAAATTCCCCCCCCCCCACCCCCCGGCAGTCGGTGCCCCACTTGAAAACCCCCAATAAATTCATATTTTTTCACGTTAAAAAAGGTACTAAGTATTCTTTCTCCAATATCTTTTTTCTCTCTCTATTAGGGATACTGAATAATTTATTTTTTGATTGTATGATTTCTAAAGAAGACTTGCTAAAATTTAGTCTTAAATTTTTAAATATATTATTTTTTTTATTTTTTTTTTGGTATTAAACCGTGCCTAAAAGCTCATGCCATTTCTAGTATACATATATAATTGAAGGTGGGCTCCCATGTGGAGCTCCCACGGTAGACATCGTGAAGGTGAAAGGAAACTTTAGGTTTTCTCGATGAGTAATGTTTTTAGGATCTAAACAAATTGATTGA